AGAGCCAGCTTCAAAAGCTACAGCCAACTCTATAGGTAAAAATTTCAAGTTCGAACTTTGATACACGTGGAAAACGAACGCAAAGTCGACTTTAATTTTGCAACCGACTATGATGGCGCATTTAATGCACAATGATTGACTTATTTGAAGATTATTTAATGTTTTCAAAGTCGAGATCCTAAAGTCGGCTTTATATTTTGTAGTTGGTTGCTTAGGAAAACAAAATATGAAGGAAATCCACAAAGCTGCCTTGACGTTTTGTAGCCAACTTTATGAAGAAAACAAAATGTGCAGGAAACGCACAAAACTAACTGTAAAACTCTAAGCCGACTGTATAGAACTGGTTGTATTGACAATTCTGTAATTCGAAATTAAACGACTTGCAAAGCATTTAATGATCCCTAACGGTTAGAAATGACTATTTTCGAATAAGGGGCTATAAATATGGTTGATAGCAAAATTGGAATGAGTTTGAAAAGTATTGTATTGAATATCTTTACCTACCAATTTGTGCTTTAACTTCAGTTTTTGATCTTTGAGGGATTTTTACTTGTAATTCTTTTCTTGTTCTACTTGTGTGTTACCTTGAAGGTATGATTATTCTTTTAAGAATAATTTGTAGAGAGGATTCATTGGGGTTTATCTTGTAAAGGGGTGAGATTTGAAAAAAACACTTTTCTTCTTCAAAAACACTCTTCTTCTTGTAAAAGAATTGAGTGGTTCCTTTAAACCACCTTTGATTTTGTTAATGGAAAGTGTAGAGGGAATCCTTGGTGAGTGAAGCCAAGATAAAGAATTAGACTCTAAGTGGTTGGATTGAACTCCTATAAAATCATTGTGTAAACTTTTCTTCCCTACTCTCTCTCTTTGATTTTTGTTTGATGGTTACAAAAAAGCGAAAATTTTTCAACTCCAATTCACCCTCAATCTTGGAGTACATTGAGCTAACATACAGTATATTTATTAAAAATTATTATTATTTATTTAAAATTAAAAGCAAATAAAATTAAAATGAAACCATACATACAAGATACAAAAACTTATTATACTTATGTTACATTTTAATAATTGAATTAGAACAGTTGTTAAAAGTATATTGAACCAAATATATACCATCATTTTCCACGAAAATAAGACAAAATCAACAATGACTATAAATTTAGGGCAAAATCTCCTAGTGTCTATTACTTAACATTTTGAAATCAACTTATAAATTGATGTTTTCAAACCCCCTAATACATTGTTTAAAGAAAAAACAGCTATAAATTAATAAAATTATTTAAACCAAATACATTTATACGCACTTCTAAAATAAAAAGGACACTACTAGTTAAAATTACCATTTGTAGCCAATGTCTAACACCTGGCTTTTGCTTGAGTCACGTTGCCCTCTCAATTTTGTGGATTAATAAAACTTGAAATGGTAGGTCACATATCAAATATTAAAAAAATACAAAAATAAGTAAATAAATATGCCTTAAAATATAAGGGGAAAAAAAGTGAAGGAAACTTAAAAGATAAATAGAGAAACTTTCAGCCCAAAATTGTCCCTCCATCTGTAGTTCTGTGCCATTGCGATGAAGAATTACCTATGATTTTGGGCTTGATTTCAATTGCCAATAAAATCAAAGCATGCTTTTGTACATCGATCACTACTGTACCCATGGGTGTTCCTAATTTTTATATCTCCCTTGAAAAAGAAGAACTTCCCATGTGACTCACTGGTTGAGTCGCGTTTTTTCATGAAAAG